TTCCCTAATACCCTTACTGACCACTTGAAAAAAGAAAAAGAAATTAAAGATGTATAAATTTCGAGCCTATTGAAGTGTTTGGAAGATAAAGGAAATCTGCCTGTAGTCCCATTGTTTTTTGGAAACAATACATGTACTATGTTCAGCAAACACAATCTGTTTTCTCTCACTGTGGAATATGAAACTTTAAGTCAATGATTCAATTAGAGAGAAAAAAGTCTGGTGCTAAGGACCAATAAAATGTAATGCTAAGTACCATTAATAGCAGAGATTATAACAAATAAAACGGCCCTTTTCTGTAACATGTATACAACATCCTTTGAAGGTTCTTATTTCTTCATTATAATAACTGTATAAAAGAAGTGGCCCTTCGGCCAGATAACCTGAAGTAGAGGACTTGGCTTGAATCTTTCTTGCCACTGCCTTATGGTTAGATCTTGGCCTTTGCGCGGTCTGTAAAAATAAGAATATTTATGGCATTGTAATTATTTTGTGAGTGAAGTGAGAATGTGTAAATATATTTTGAAAATTAACTGTAAATATATACCATTTGGAGTGTCTTTACTGAAGTAAATATTTTTGAATTTTGTGTTTTTCATCCCTCCATCAATTTTGTCTGAAAGATATGATTACTATTTCCTTTGTTGAAAAGGATCAAATACTCATTTACGAAGGTCACCTTTAAGCTCTCGTTATCTCTGCTTCAGGGGCTTTGAAGCTATCCTTAAATTAATATAATAATCTGTGGTCTTTACCTAAATAACTCTGAAGGTTGTGGTTTTTATTTAAATAACTAGGGAAGACACTTTTGATGGCTTTTAGAATATTAACATCATTTAGGTCAAACTGTATAGCTAATAATCGTGCAAATATAGCACACATTTATTTTTTCTCTTAACTTATTTAAAAAAAATTTTTAAAGCAAGCAATTCCAAGAAAAACAAAAACAAAAAACATGGTTGGTATTTATTTAGCACTTTAGATATAGCTCAAGGGAACACATAACAGTATTATATCTTTGGTGATCAAAATAAATAAACTGAAATGTTAAGAGTATAAAGAATTGGATTTGAAATCAGGTAGATTTGGTTCAAATTATATGCTGATGGTCTTAGGCCACCATTTAGCCTCTTTGCATCTCAGTTTCCACATCTCTAAAACAGGAATAATAGTTACCTTATATTCATTCCTTCAACATATATTGTGAGCCCCCAAAATGCTCAGTTACAGCTATAAACAAGACAAGCTCCTGCCATTCCATAGTTTACAGTATAGTAGGAGGGATAAATAAGAAACAAAAACACAGAACTAAAATAATTCCATATAAGTGGTGAATGAAATAAAGGAAATAAATCAGAGTAACAGGATGAAAAGTGATGGGGGAGCATAGAGAAGGGGTGTGGCCATCGATCAGGGAAGTCTTCTTTGAGGAGGTAGAGATTTCAAGCTTAGACCCAACTCATGAGGGGAGAGACATGGGTATATCTAGAGGAGCAGTATCCAAGAGGTGGAAAGTTCTTGAGGCAGGAAAGAATTTAGCATTTTTTAATGACCAGATTAAAGGTGTATGGAGTTAGAAACTAGTGGGGGCAAAGGGGAGTGTGTTATGATATTCAGAGGATATTAGGAGGAGTAGGTAGACAGGGTTGAGCTCATGTATAATAAAGAATGTGGATATTATTCTAATTGCAATGGAAGACATAAGCTGACCCTAAACAAGAAATTGACACTGCATAATTTACATTTTAAAAAGATCCCTAAAAAAAAATCAATGGAAAAAAAGATCCCTCATAGTTCATAAGTTGGCAATGATTACTTATGTTCCTTTATACCAGTAATAGATAGTTTAAAAATATATCTTAAAAGATACAATTTATACATTTTAGGATCAGATTGTTAAGCTTCATAAAGGAAAAAAATCCTCTTGAGATTTTTAATTGAAATCATACTGAATTTATCACATAACTTGGAGAAAATTTCTATCTTTGTGATATCAAGACTTTGCATTCATGAACATGATATATCTTCACTAATTTAGGCCTACTTTATTTTTTTTTCCTGTTAATCCTCACCTGAGGATACTTTTTCCATTGATTTTTAGAGAGTGGCAGAGAGAGGCAAAAACAGAGAGAAATTTTAGTGTGAGAGAGACACATTGATTGGTTGCCTCTCATAGGCACCCTGACCAGGGCCAGGGATAGAGCCTGCAACTGAGGTATGTGCCCTTGACCGGAATCGAACCCGGGACCCTTCATTCTATAGGCCAATGCTCTGAGACAACCAGCTAGGGCAGGTGTACTTTATATCTTCCAAAAATGTTTATTTATAGAGTGCTTCCATGAAGATCTTTAAATTCTTTAACTTATTCCTATTATCACTTTTGTTGTTGCTTTTATTTTTAGCTGCTGGCAGTAATATTGAAATATATTGATTGAAATGATCCTCTAAGTCCTATGTTACTTTAGAGAAAATTTTGCTTATGTGTATAAGGAGACATCGAAATATTCATGGCATCATGGCATCTTGAAGTTACAGGTATACAGCAGTAAAACAATGAATGAAATGCAGCTTGGAGCTACTAATGAGGTTGGCTCTTATAAAGAGAATATTGAGGGGAAAACTGCAGAAAGGTATGTATACTGATAATAAGATTTATGTAAAACAACATATTGTTATGCCTATATATGTAGATATAATAAAAGTACATACATGTCATGGGAAGGATAATCATGAAAATCAGGACAGTTTTACTCCTGGGGAGTGGAAGGTATTAAGAAAGGACATGGGAGACTTCAATGATGAGATTCCATATTTCATAAGCTAGGTGTTAGGTACATGATTATTTTATTTACTATGTTTTTGTAAACTGGACATATTTTTAAAAAATATTGATATTTTACAGAGAGGAAGGGAGAGGGATAGAGAGTTAGAAACATCCATCAGCTGCCTCCTGCACACCCCCTACTGGGGATGTGCCTGCACCAAGGTACATGCCCTTACTGGCATCGAACCCGGGACCCATCAGTCCACAGGCCAACAGTCTATCCACTGAGCCAAACTGGTTAAGTGGACATATTTTATAACAACTTTGAAAAGGAGAAAAGTAATTCTAGTTTATGAACTGAAGCATGAACTACCAAGGGCTGAGAGAGGAAGAGAGGAGGCACGTTAGGGACACTCGCTGTGCTCCTGAAGGGTGGAATTGGGTATCTAGCGGTTTCTGGCACAGTCCGTGTTTAACAAATGGTAGTTATTGCTGATGTGGTTGCTATCAACATCAGGGCAAAGATCAAAGACCTGGGGGGACTGTGAAAAAAGAGGAACTAAAATGTTTCAAGTAGCTATGTTGTACTAGGTGCTTTATTTATCCTTTGGTCTTACCTAGAATCTAGTTATAAAGAATCTAAGGCTCAGAGAAAGGCAGAAGGCTCAAGGCTACATACATGTCTAATGACTCATTTTTCAATGTTGTGTCAAACATACACTCTCTCCCGCCAAGATACACACACACCCTTTCCCTGTCTGGCATTTGAAAAAAATTCAAACATCTTTTCTCTTTGGTTCTTAAGTAGCATATTTTGAGTTAAAGTTTAATAGCTCGATCCACCAAACACTTGGATTAGTGCCTTGTTACTTATCACAGAATACTTTTGGATCGCTCTCAATTTTTCACTTGACCCTCCAAACAGCTCCTAGGAAGGGCGGTTGATAATTCCTGTTTTACCGATGCGTAAACTAAAACCCAAAGAGACAACCTCAGAAATCCTTAGCCCGTGTGACCATGAACCTCATGAGTTCCTATGTTAAGTAGCTTATGACTGAATGGGCACTTTTCTAGGTTGAGGGTTAAGGTTAATTGTATTGTAAAGGAGTTCACGACTCCCCCAGAAGGTTTACGAAACAGTGGGTTAAGCAGGGTCCTGGTGCAGCCAAGAGACCCTCCGACCTCACACCCTGCCTTCTTCTCATTACAACTCACAGCATCAACCTTCCAACTGGAGATATTACTGGTGGAATACGATTTGTACTGTTTACCCACCGCTAAGGCGCACGTGTTATTAAATATACGGACGGAAACATCTTACCTGGGGAGTTTGTTCAGCTGCTGGGCACTCTAATCTACAGGGTGTTATTTTTCAAACGAACAAGTCAAGAGCTGTTACTACAAGCCCCAGCAAACTTGCTAAGAAAAGGAATCTGACACAGTGGCTATGTAACGTATTTTACAATTGCGAGTAATCTATAAACAATAATCACGGAAAAAATTAAAATCCTGAGACGTAGCTTCTCCATCTGGAGGTGGGAAGCAGACCATGCGCTGGGAGCGGATTTTCATTCCGCCTGGGCCGGTTACCGTATGTCTCAGGGTCCCTTTCTCCCAGATGGAAAAGGAAGGATTAAGGCGGATCGCTCTCTCTGAACCCTTCCCACTCCACCACCTTTGCAGCTTGGACAGGACTGAGGAGCGCCAATGGGTATAAACTTTTGGCACAGCCTGTGAATGTCGGCCACATTTTCCCCATGAGAAAGGCCTCCAGCGTCCAAGGCGGGGGCTAGTGGTCATGAACCCCAAGTGTCCGGGGAACGCACTAGACCCGCCCCTTAGGAAGACCCAGCCTGCAGCCCCCTTTGGGTGATGTCAGGGTGGGCGGAGAGGATGCCTGGCAAGGTCCGGGGGGGATTTCACAGGAACCCAGGCCCTCAATCCCGCCCTGAGGAATGCAGGCAGGGGAACGCCCCAGCCCAGCCCCGGGAAGGGAGCGGGTGGGGAGTGCGAACGTTGCAGGCGGGGCTTCG